AAACTGCGCTTCCTCCACTTCCGTAACATTGATTCATTAATGTTGAATTCTCTCGCAGCTGTTCTATTCCCATATTGTTCATCCTCCAGCTTCACTGTGCTAATGTTATGCTAACATAGCTGTGTCGCTAGCAATCACATAGCACAACATTATATACCAGCTAGTCCAACTTCAGTAACTCTGCAAACACCACTGCTTTTTAGTTTTCTGTCTTCATTTATGTTGAAAGTGGTAGCAGAGCTGTACGTTTTAATTAGTTTCAAAAATCTCTCAGTCAGAATATGGTATGTCATGTTTAGGTGGAAACTAGCGAGCTAACTTCCTGTTAACTTCTAACTCCGTTAAATTTAATAAATTCTGTTTTTATGGATGCATGGATGTTAAACTTAATTGTTACACCTGATAAAGCAGCAACGCTGATGATTTTATTAAAGATGAAAGAATTTAGACCGTTTTTAACTCTTAGTGTTGGTTTGACTTTGGGACCTGAAGTTTTGGACACAGATTACTCCGCGTAATGCTCTGACAATCCAGAATTCATATATAAGGCACACTCTCGATTTTTGAGAAAATTAAAGGATTTTAAGTGTGCCTTATAGTGTGGAAAATACGTTATACAGAAGAAAAGAATATATTGCGATATATATCGTTACCACACATGCTTCAAATTATACCACGATATGACTTTTAGGCCATATCGCCCAGCCCTAGTTTAAAGCTTTCACATGAGTAAAGTAACACATATTACTGCTAATGCTAAGTAATGTTAGCTAAGTTCACAACATATTCCATAAATCTTCATGCCATAACTAACTGTATAATAGCGCTGCCGTATTGCATCACACTCATTGCATTTCAATCATTTCTCCAGCGAGTTTGATAGCTAGCAAAATAATAATCATAATTTTAAAAATTAGCATGTGTAACGTACTGGAAAATTATTCACTAGGACTCACCTATCATGCGACTGGAGAGCGCAAACTCCGCCATTGTTGTTTTCCATCAAACACTCATTAAAACAGCAACTGCAGGTATGTTTTTTGTTTTTGTTTTTGTTTAAGAACTTTATAACTGCAGGTATGTTAGCGTGCTCATCCCGACAGTTAGGGGGAGAGGCAGGTCACATATTGAAACAGACAGCCACAGAGGTGCAAGGCAGCCCAGGCAGAGAAATTTTGCTTTTACATTTTGCGACTCATTTTATTTCTCTATCTGATAAAAATAAATAAATAAATCAATTAGATAGTTATTTGTGGTGAATGAAATACAGTTACACTTTCAAGCACTTTTAAGCACCACATCTGAAATGTAAGCAATCACCCTTACGAACCCTGATACTGAATACACAGATGCTAAAAAAAAAGGGGGTTCCAGAGTGTTTGGCAGTGTGGAAAGATTAAAATATCTTGGGAAGAGATCAGATTGACAAGTGAGAAAATAATTACTTAGTGAAAATAAATGAAAATATTCTATTGATAAACAGCACGATAGTCAGAAAACTATAGGACTTTTAAATGGTGATTACATGGTAAGACAAGAAAGCTTTGCAGGAGGTATACATGTTTCCAGTGTGTCCTAGTGTAAGCTGTATAAGTGTCCAAATGTGTGGCTGTAAACACCCTAAGAAAAATTCTCTCCAATCTATCTAAGATTTGCATCACTTCAGTACCTAATCTGTGATGATCCTGGTATAATTCATCCATCGTTACACAAATATTTCCATCCTCCACCTAAATGAATGTATCCAAGATACAAGAATTAAGATTACACTGATACACACAGTATGTTTCCTGAATCCCTGATGGTTGTGTTCAGAGAAGGGACATTGGGTGGTAAAGGTCCTAAAACATGATCAACTACTCCCCACTCACAATTTACCATTAGACTGGAGCACTGTTAATCACACATTGCTTCATGCCATTGGATCAGGGCATAGATAGGATCAATGGTGAGATGTAAGTGAGGACTGCACTTCATTACATTCATGATAATGTTTTAGTTACTTATTAATTTGTAGATCTTAAAATCTATCCATGTTCTACCTTCACTCTTTGACCCTACCACATCTGGGTCCCAGGAAAGACGTAGACAATAAAAAAAACAGAACCTGTGTTATGTGGTATTATAAAAGTCAAAGCACTGTCAAAGTAATGTCTCTAATTCTGAAATGGCTCCTGAATCTAGTGCGAAATCGTTTGACTCATTTCTTAATTGGTATTATGACTTTTACTTGAGTAAAGAGCCGAAGTACTTGTTTCGTCACTTTGCCAAACAAAGACTCTTTTGGCTCTTGCGCAGTGTCATCTGTATTTGGCACAGGGTTGCACGTGAGCCTGAAAATCATGTCACGTTTTTCTCATTTCCCGTGAAAAGAAAATCAGAAACAATCCCCAATCATAGAGCCGTTGTTACACAAGTTACCACACTGACGATGAAATGCCACAGCCCGCGCGCAGAATAACTTTACCGCTTTTTGGTTTCCAGAATAAAACTCCGTGCATCTGTCCGGTCAGCCCGATGCAGCACACATGCTGCAGTTTGTCTCTGGGCAGGAGGCCAATGCACCGGTCCAGAGTGTCTATGATCCGACCCGTGTCCTGCTCTTTCGCCTGCGTTACACACAATCACACAGAGGTGTTTAGATTACTGAGCTGTAGTTAAAATTGCGGGACAAGTGAACGCACTCACCTTTATCCCGCTATCGTCGGCTAAATCAGAAACAGTCGGTAAAGACTGACTGGCAGCTATAGCTCTACATCCTCTGTCTAATAAAACGGCTTTTACTGAAGAGGTACCCACGTCCAAACCCAGGATAAAGTTAGACATGACTGATGTTTACGATATGTACCTTGAGCTTTTTTCATACCGAAATGCCAAAGTCCTCACTGCTGCATTCATGTGATTAAAGGAGTTTAGAGCTTCTTTGCTACTTAGATGAAATTTGCTGTTATAAAACTGCTGTTTTAGCCAAAAATGTGAAATAACGAATTTACATTTTGATGTAACATAGTGTCTCCTTCAATACAAATTCAAAGGTAGCTTCCCTGCTTAAACGTTATTCAAGGTAGATCAATTTCCTACTGTTTTACTGTCAAGGAATGCACCAAATCGGCTCCTCCTGAGGCTGACTACCGCCTTCCCACAATGCACTGCGCAGGAGCATGGCTGACTTTCGTATAGGAGTGTCATCCGAACGAGAATGAATGCACTTTTTCTTTTGGTGACAGCAGCTGACTTTTCCTGTAACTGCTTTAGATTCAGGTTTGCTAAGTAAATCTTGCATGTTATGTTTTTGTGACCGCGTCGTGAGGAGTCGACAGGAAGTCCCTACATTAATCTCCGGTGAGAGCCTGTCACCGTCAGTGGGCAGCTGGGAGAGCTAGCACTGCTAGAATTAGCACTGGTAGAAATGTTAAAATAGTTCAGCTGACGTGCAGTTTAGCCCCCAATAGTCTGACTCTGCTTTGTGTAGTTTGAAAACTGATATCTGTGTCGTATGATTTTACCTTTTTATGTCAAAACGAGGCTTTGAATCACCTTGAAGTTTGGCAATAGCTAAGCGAACCCGACTTGCTTTCTTTGTCACGCAGAGTGAAGAGCTTTAATGTGTCCAGATTTGTAGTTTTATGTTGAGTCAGTGTCATAATGATCGGTAGTTTTTATTTTAATCTTTCTTTTTAAATATAATAACCTTCATTACCAGCAGTAAGATGGCCCTTAAATTATTCCTGGTGAAAATTGTCTGTCAATGGATTTTTAAAGTAAAACCGATCGGTCTCTAATGTTTTAAATGAGCTATTGTTGTTTTATTTCTATTTGGTGTTAATTCTATAAAGCATCCCGAGTCAGGATTTTTAGGATTTGAAATCATTAGTCCTACTATTCATCATGTTATTTCGATTTTGATTATTTATGAATTAAAAACCTCATTGTGCGAGGTACATAAAATCATAGTAGGTACGGTTGCTCTAACATTGTTGCCTTAATCTTTGATGTTACAGCAGCACCTTCTGTGGTAGCCGACCAGAGCCAAGATGGCTGGAGTTGGGGCCAAGCGCGAGGGACCACAGTTCATCAGTGAAGTGGCAGTGAGAGGCAACGCGGCAGTGCTGGATTACTGCCGCACCTCTGTGTCTGCGCTCTCGGGAGCAACAGCCGGTATCCTTGGCCTGACGGGACTGTACGGCTTCATCTTTTATTTCCTATCATCCTTTCTCCTCTCGCTGCTTCTTATTCTCAAGGCCGGACGGCGGTGGAACAAATTCTTCAAATCACGGCGGCTGCTCTTTACCGGAGGCCTCGTCGGAGGCCTCTTCACATATGTCCTGTTCTGGACTTTCTTGTACGGGATGGTGCACGTATACTAGAACATCTACTCGAAATAACTCAGAAATATTTGTCTAATGCTCTGTAATTCTTTAGGTTTGTCTGCCCTGCTGTTGTAGATAGGCTGTTAGTGGAAGGCTTCCATTGTGAACTGTTTATATGTTAAACGATGAGTTAAGAGAATTAACTGTCCTTTTCTTTCCTCCATATTTACCAGAGAATGAACTCTAACCTGTACTTAGAGAGCTATAGTTATAATGTAGGTTTACAGATCAAATCCTCACAAGTTAAACCAAGTCAGAAAACAGCAGATGTAATTACTGACTGGATTAAAGATCTCTCTAGAAGTTTTTTTGGATCACTTTTTCTTCACTGGGGAGTGTCACTAATAATAATAAAATTGTGATGACAAAAATGTGTTTCCAATGACAAAGAACATTCAATAAATAGAAACAGGAACAGCAAACAATAAAGGGAGACTCTGCATTTCAGTTTCCATTCATTACACAGAGAATATGTCCACTTGGACTCGTAGAGCATGTCAGGCTGTATTCTTCAGTGTCGCCAGTGAATACTGTGTAAAAGCTTCATATCAAAGCCATGATCAGTACAGTTAACTGAACATACAGCAGAAAGCAGCAACAGTGTTTGTGCATTTTAACAACACATGTGTTGAGCTGTAAAAACACAATTAAGACCACACATTTTCTTATGAATTGCTTCTAAGTGTAGTTTTTAAAAACTTTCATGCCTACTTTTTTTACTTTTATACTATATATTGTAATTACTGTCACTGCTAATTGCCAGTTGAGTGGTAATGAATCTGTTTTGAATCCTGACCCTGCTACTTTCTTTGACGTCCTGACCTCATGCACTGTGCACAACATTTACATTCCCCTGGATCAACACATCTTCAGTCAGAGCATCATTCATGCTAGTGACCGTGCTAGCAGTTGTGCCGGCAGGTAAGACGTGGACGTCAGTCCCACCTTTGGGTTCCGCCTCATGCAGGAAAACAAACAGGTGATCTTGCTCTGCCTGCAGACCTAATTGTGAGCCATGAAAGTGATATGATGCTTCGTCTCGGTGCCATGGGGTGGAGCAGAGTATCGCTGTCCCGTGTTACGTGGAATTGTGGGACCCCTTTTCTCTGTAGGTGGCTGGCTCTCTGCAGAAGATCCTGCAGTGGGCTCAGTTTCTCCTGGATTTTTGATGGAATTTGTAGCCCCTTTCTCTGTCCCTGGTCTTCTGGACCTCTTTTCCCGATGGCCCGTTTTCTCATCTTTAACTTTGGTCCTCTCTTTTCTGTTGCACACAGCATTAGAGAGGTGTGCAAAAGTGAGGAGCAAGATTTAGAAAATGGCAAAGTTTTTGCAAACATATGAAGTCCTACTTGAAGTTGATGATTTCAAATTTCCTCTCTCTGTAGAAGGAGCTCGTGTTCATCATGTACAATAATATCATATCACAGGCAAAGGCTCCCTAAAAGAGAAAAATAAACAAATGAACTGGAACAGGAGAGAATATTACTTTTCTTGGTGGGGATTCCACATCATCCACTGTCCTGTAATATGACAGTTTTTGAACTTAGCACCGTGGTAATTGCACAGCAATCATCCACACATGCGTCAGCAGAATATTCTAATAAATTACTCACTGCACCGAGGAGAGCAACACCTGAGCCAATGGCAATTACTGTGGGGACAATATTGAATTTCCCGGCCTGTAAAACAATAACCAGAAACTCACTGTTAATCTCCCACCAGAATGATGTGCTTTAGAAAAAAACTAAACTGCTACTATCTCCACAGTACCTGACCATTGATCATTATATCAAAGCGAATCCCATACACTTTATACAGCGTGCGATAGGTTTCCCCATTTTGATCCTTATAGTATCTGGCATATCTGTAGAAAAAATAGTTGACATAAGATGTAAAGGCTGAAAACATGTTGGAAACAGTGAGCAGACTGAAGGTAGTGGGTACCATACCTGAAGTTGTATCCCGATGTGATTGAGTTGTTCAAATTAATGTCCAAACGGGTGAAGCTGTACTGTGGATTACACAGAGAATAATCTTTATCCAGGTCACAGTTCCACTCAATGAGAATGCCAACAGAGCCGCCCTGATGGACACAAAGGGTAAATATTAATAGCACATCAGCGGATACACCACAAACCATACCGTACAGAGTGCTTTACAAAAAGTAAAACTTTTTAAACATAACATACCACGACCAGAGAAGACATACGCAGATAAAATCAAGTTACATGAGGCTTTGGCAAGAAAATGCTTATTTTGAACAACTGTGTTCATTTGGGATGTAATTCAGTTGAGGTGCCCCGATCTTTCTCCCTCAGAGCCTCAAACTCAAGTTGCTTGTAACGGGCAACACAGATTTAATTTGGGACCAGCCAAACGCAGTTCCAGAAACTCAGTTTTTCATAACTCTAAACAGAAACTGAAAAGGATTAAATACTACTGAAAACTCCACATGTCCATCATCCATTTTCTTCCAGCTGATTATATAACAGATACATATACATATACATATACAGATGAAGACCACAAGATGTGTCAAAAAGCTTCACGACAACGACACATAACGACATGTATGTGAATCTAACCAGTTCATAAATGACCCTGCTGTTAGTAGTCTACCAGAGGCTGGCTTTTAATACACAGCTTTACTGTATTTGCATTGCAGAGAGATTCAAGTGTTTGTGGGATATTTGCAGATTTTCTTACAAATCATTAAAGAAATCAGCTTTTTTGTGCAAGCAGACCATCTCCCTATAAATCAGTCAACTGATTTGAGTTTGTGTGTCCACAGAGAGATAAACTGTGTATTGCAGAATCTTCACTGTACTGTGTCCTCTTCTAACATTTTATAATGTTAGAAGATCTGCTCAAGAAATCTAAACAAGTGATGGCGAGCTACTGAGACATGCTTTGTTTCCAATCACTTTCAAAATGTCTTATCCTACTAAATACATTTGTTACTGCAATCAGTGCCAGATTTCTATTATAGTTTGTTAGCAAATGACTGTGAGGAAGTGAGGAACCAAAATCACTCCCGCACATAGTCTTAATTGGTACATCCCCCCCCACACACACACACAAAGGATAGGGGCATGAAATCAGTTCTGGTTGTTTGTTTGTCTTTCTGTGTGTTTGTTTGCTGTTTTGCATCCAGTGTTTGTCAAATTTCAATTTCAAATTCATTCATTCATTCTCAAATTTAGTTTGAGGTTAGATATCAATAACAACTCAAGCTGATTCAATTTTGGTCAAAATCTGGTTAAAGTCAAAGTCAAGGTCACACCAAATGTAAAAATCAGTTTAAAAAATCTTCAAACTTCACAACAATATGCTACACCCTGGGGGACATGAGTACCTGAAATTGGCCATTAACATTGGCCTTTAATGTTAGCACCCAAGGTCAATGTTGACCTTGACCAAAAAAAATTAAACCATATTGAGTATTATATCATATGAAAGGGCATGCAAAGAGCTGTACGACGCACTTTTTATTTTCTCAATACAACATCCTATGACGTCACCATGATGCTGGAAAGCTTTGCAAAACCACATAATTATATCTTTAAAGCTCATGTTTTACAGCTTATAGAAAGATTCCAGCCAGAGCTGCTCCAGTATTAAAGGTAAAGATCATAAAATACACTATTCTAGCATGTAATGCTTAAAAGGTCATTGGTCAAAGGTCAGGGTCATATGAGCTAGGATCATCTCCAAACTTTAAACCAATATATTCGTCACTGGGGGGAACATAAGAACTTTATTTTTTTTTAGCTCTTTTTTCAATACAACGCTTGACGACTTCAAAACGACACAAAATGATCAATATGCTACACTAATATACTCCAGTAGATTTCCATGTTAACAATGCTGACATGATCATGAAACATTAAAGTTTTAGCATAGGTCTTGCCCTTCAGGGGAATTTGCTCTCTTTGAGTGTTGTTGTTTCACTTTGTACCTTAACAGCCATTTCCTGGAAGTCATGTCCAGCACTGCTGACAAGATCTCTGAGGCGAAAGATGGGGCAGTAAGGATGATTCTCTTTTTCATAGAAACATCTCTTTAGGTAGCTTTCATCAGAAGTTTCAAGGACATTGGCTCTAGAAGTAATAGACAGCAGATGTGGAGTTAATGATATCAGAAACTTGTGTTTTCACTCAATGCAATGACACAAACCATTTACTTAAGTGAAAAGATGGAGGTTAGAGTTATCAGGGTTTTGCTGATGGCAGCAGATAAGGCACAGCTGGTTCCATGCCTGAACCAGCTGTGCTCTTTCTGTCTAAAGTTTGTATGTTTTCCATGTGCCTGTTTGGGGTTTCTTCTCACAGACCAAAGGCATGCATGTTGTGTTATGTGGTCATTCTGAGTGGCCGCAGGCGTGGATGTGAGAATGTGTGCTCTCTTTTTTACCCCGTGATGGACTGGCTGCCTGTTCAGGGTGTACCCTGCATCTTAGCTGACATTGGCAGCTAGATGGATAAGCATTTAAGAAAAATGGGATGGATGGATGACTTGAAAGTGCAACATCAGAGTCTGACCACCGGTTGTCATACTTAGGATAATATTGACAATTTGACTGAAAACTTAAATCTCTGAAAATATGATTTTTAGAATATATATTAGTCTTTGGTATTTCTTCCTTTTGCTTTACTAAGACCCAACCCTTGGTCTTCTTTACACCATAAAATGTTGGGCTTGGCCTATTATCCTGCAGCACTGTGAATCCTTCAGATGCAAAACAGAGGCCATGTTTCTGAACAGGAAGGGGCTACTGGCTGAGCGTGAAGGTCCTTTATTATAGACATACTTGTCCAGGGTAGAAAACAACTCTAGACTTCACATCCAGAAGAAGGTGTAAGCCGAAGCATGTAGGTGTATTTTTAATGTCACTTGCCCACAAAGAAGCTACTTTATTACTCGCATAAACTACTAGGACTGCCAGGACCTGGATTTTTTAAGCCAGTTTTGGTTAGATTCATTTATTTTCTTCCTCCTGATGGTTTTCTTGTGCCCAGTAGTCTGTTACTTCCATAGCACTAGGTGGTCCTCTCAATAAATAGGACTTTTTTTCCATTATGTACATTTTTTAATATAACTTTTGCTGACTTTTGCTCACTTGGTCTTTATTGATGTCTTTTGATTTATCTGTTTTTGTTTTGTTTTTTTCCTGCAGTGAATAAAGCTGGATGTATTGATCTTCTATGGCTGCTTTTGGACACTCTGCATCCATTTTCCAGCATTTTAGAGCTCTGCCCTGTGGGAACCTTCACACTCACAATGACCCGGTCAAAGCTCTTTGTTGCTAAGAATAACAGGCTGACTAGTGACACTTTTACTCAGTTATGATGGAATATGTGTTCTCCAAATCAACCTGTTCTATTCTGCTTCAGGGGAAGGAAACAATTCAAAAAATGTTACTTTTTGCACAAAGATGTTAACAAATTCAGTGCCACAGTTTGGCTAGAAATATGGAAGAATCTAAGATTTATCTTCCTTTTTTTATATGATTTATAAATCTTTATAACTTTTTTTTTTTTTTTTTTTAAGGGGAGAAGATTTTTAATGTGATCTCATACCATTTTAACTTTGCCTTAACTTTGGTCCTCAGATACGCACATATGCCTCTGCATCTGTACCACTGTGCACTTCAGAGTTTCACTGTCTGGACTCCAACTAATCTGACTAAGCTTTCTTCAGTGTACACTACAAAAGTGACGCATGCAGCATGCGTATGTCAGTCAAACCAAAGCTTACACCCTCTAGCTGCAAGCAAAAGAAAAAAACGTAACTGGATACAGGACACTGTAAGATGTGTAGTGTTGCCGGCCATTTGAAGTAAGTTCCATTCAGGCGAAAGCATTACCTCATTAATCACAGGCATGCCAAGATTAGTAGGGGAACATAAGAGATGTATCCGTAATTATAGTAAGATCTTGACAGATGAATTAGCTATAGCTGGGGCATCTCTGTGCATTATTGCAGGACTCGTGCAGGGAACAGCGGAGAGGGTAGCTCAATGGGCTAGCCCATTCTGATCAGACACCTGTCCAGGGCAAGGCTTGCTGTCAAGGACGTCTCAGATGACTGTTTCACTGTCTCACTGAGTGCAATGCACAGAATGGTATAAATAGAAGGCTCTCTGCACCCTAAAGCTATTTAAAGCAGCCACTGGAGCGTGCATATCCCCCCAGGTCACTCTATGCCCCAATCCCTGGAAGACATAGGCACACCAGCAATCAGCAGCCACTTATAGCTACTTACTTGGAGAACTCAAACTTGGGGAACCTGATGAAATTCTTGATGTAGATGGTGAAGTTTTCTGCATCACTCAGTAAGGGCTCTCTGGAAATGAAAGAGACAGGCAGCTGTGTGAAAAAAGAAAAGGGAGGCGACAGCCTATGCCAGTAATAAATAGAACCTGTGAAATATCTGGGTCTGTGTGAGGGATCAGAGCCAGTGTTAATGCAGCAGCAGCTCAAAATGGCAAATTTCCAAAGTTCTGTGAGGGATGATGAATGCTCACGCGGGTCTCTTGTTGTATTCAACGGGACACCAGGCATGAATCTCACAGGTCCCGGTGCTGTTTAAACACAAGCCAGTCTTGATTCCTAACAGAGAGAGAGAGAGCAAAGAGTTGGCAGGCTGTGTGGTGGAGCTGAACAAGAACTTAAAAAATGAAAAGACACAGAGAGACATAATGAAATGTGTAATATTAAAGAGTGGCGGTATCAGGACAATATTTTGTATTGTTTCATTATACAGATCATAAATCAGAGAATGGAAAAAGCGAGGATAAATCCAAACAAACAATCAGATTTTTACATCCCTCACCATGACCTGCTGTTACAGGCTCCCCCTCCATGCAGTCATCATCAGTTTTGCATCGTCCATCTGGCACCTTGGAACTCTGTTAGAGGCACGATAAAAAAAAAAATTTAAAAAAATTAAAAAAAAATAAATAAATATATATATATATATTTATTTATTTATTTATTTATTTATTTATTTATTTACTATGACTTTTCTGCTTTCAGAAAATGCTAATTTCCTTCCAATACGCACCTCAGCACAGAAGCCCAGCCTTTGATTGGGGGTCTCTATGTAATTTGTTACAACAAAGAACACCTGCTCACCCTGCAAAATAAAATTAAGTCCTGGCAGTGAGATGAAGAAGCAAAATGTTAAACAAATTAGTGCCCCCAAGAAGCTCAATATTGTTAAATCTACCGAGACAGACATTGAGACTAATGATACAAGGCAGCACAAACATTCAATAGCCTCGTAATATGTCTTGACAGGAACATAATTAGCGAGTGCTGCTATCAGTGCCATCAGTGTTGCTATCCTACAAACTAAAAGATAGACTCACATTTGGGGGTATGACATAGTCCTCGGCACTCCACAGGTAAGGCCCCGTCTCAGAAGTGTTGGTCAGAGTGACACCTTTAAGCTTGGTGATGACTGAGCTCTGGATGGCCTCTTCTTTCTCCTGGTACCCCTTCTTCACCACAAACACCCACCTGGGACATTCAGCATAACTTCATGACGTGTTCAATGTAGCCCTTGTCTACATTGCAGAGTTATGTTATTATTACTAATATTATGATTATTAAAGTGTTTTAGAAAATATCTCGCATATGCATAAGGGGTAAAACGCTTGAAAATACCATAAATTAAAGATTACTGAACAAAAAATCGACTGTTAATAGCAGGCTTGATTGTATAACCACCAGCCACTTAAAAATGTCCCACTACAGTTTGTCCTCTCTTTATTAACCAGATAACCCACACGGGAGTATTAGTAGGAAAGGCCCATACTGCGCTACCACTTTAACACAAAGTAAAAACCTTTCCACAAGCTCCACTATTTTTAACTTTGTTAGTCACTCTCCCTTTTATTATTCCATAAAGGAAACACGCTAGTTGGAGGGGGTGCATGCAGTTCACCTCACCCAATAATGTATCCCAGCACTGCCAGCTGGTAGAGCCGAAATAATATTCCGATTCTTCTGTTTTCTGCAATGACATATTTCTCCGTTTTGTAGTTGAGAAGAGAAAATAAGAAGCCCCCCCAGCCTGCCATTCCTCCCCGCACGGTGGAGCCGAGTGAGACGGCAGCTCGCAGTCCCCCAGCTGATATATACAGCTGCTTCTCTTGTCATGCAGCGGGCAAACCCACTGAGACAGGGGTCTTCCACTCAGTTCCTTGTGGAAGAGCGACACAGGGAAAGTTTATGTTGTTGCATGGTTTGATTACACACTCACTTTGACTTACATGAGCTGTGTGCAGCAGCACCTTTGCTAATAATTCATTCCTGTGCAAATACGGCGACTTGTACTTTTCCAACAGCGTTTTCCAACACTGTGAGTGTTTACAAGTATGGTAAAATTATTTTTGTAACTGTTGCATTTTTAAAAATGAAAATGTGGACGGAGCTAAACGCACACTTGCCATTGGTTACTACCCTCGAGTTTCAGCTGTTCTTCCTGAAAAAAGCAAATTTCATAGAAAAAGCTATTTACCAAATTCGGCCATGTTTGTAGTTTTGTGCTGTTCTACATTTGTACTGCATTCTGTTTATGTTGTTC